GTATCGAGGCCCTAAACCGTTTAGGGCTTTGTACGTGAGAATCAACACTTTGAAGTCGATGCGGAATTGGATGGGCAGCCAATGCAGTGCGGCCAGAGTGGGTGAAATATGTTAGTATTTTCTCACTCCACTGAGTAATCTGGCCGCGGCATTCTGCACCACCTGTAGTTTCCGCAGCAGGCTCAAAGGTAGCCCCACATAGAGCGCATTACAGTGGTCTAATATTGAGATTACGAGCGCATGCACCAAGGTAGTGAGCGCCCCAACATCAAGGTAGGACCGCAGCTGGGCTATCCGCCTGAGATGAAAAAAGGTGGTACGGACCACCGACGCCACCTGAGATTCCATAGTGAGCGCCGGGTCCAGATGGATCCCCAAGCTGCGGACCCCATCCTTGGTGGGCAGAGTCACCCCCCCCAAAAGAAAGGGAGTTTCCCAAATCCCCAACTGTAGGGGCGCCCACCCTCAGTACCTCCATCTTGTCCGGGTTCAGCCTCAGCCCGTTCTCCTGCATCCATTTCAGTATGGCCTCCAGGCAGCGCTGGAGGGACAGAACGGCATCTCCTGCAGTTGGTGAAAAGGAGATGTAGAGCTGAGTGTCATCAGCATACTGATGACACAAGGCTCCACACCCCCTGATGACCCCACCCAGTGGCCTCATATAAATGTTAAACAGCATTGGGGAGATAATCGACCCCTGTGGAACCCCACAATTGAGACTCCATGGGGCTGAGACAATCTCCCCAAGCTGCACTCTCTGGGGACGCTCCTCCAAGAAGGAACAGAGCCAGGCCAATGCCAGGCCACCTATTCCCAACTCAACTTGTTTGTATAAGTAACGTATGCCCATTTTCTTATTGACAACTAGTGATGTGGTTTCGCTATGGTTCAAGTGGCATCTGTGCCTTTGTAGAGCAATGTTTGTCCTCGCCCCACATTCCCAATATTTTAGAGAATCTAAACCATCACACTCAAAAAGTATGTGTCCTCCACTCACTGAGACCCTATATCTCTGCCTAATTTTCTGCCTTTCAAGTGGACTGGAGCTTGGAAATACTATATACTGCTCTCAAAACACTGTATTTTTACTTCCCCTTGTTGCTATTTAATTCCACCTGTTACTATTATATCATAAGTCTTTATTTCAGAGACCCAACTAGGCAAACATTCAGCATAATGGCTTAATATCTTTTATTTAAAGCAGGTTTTAGAAATGTATGCACAGCCTCCTTCTAAAAACGCAATAACTTGAAACT